TGTAGTTAGGGAAGAGCTGGAAATATCTCCAATGCAAAGTCATTTCAAAATTAAAGTATTAATTACTGACTGAAGTTTCTATCAATGAATTCAGGCCGTCAAAGCTGTGTTTTGAAGAGCAAACTTTTAAGTCCTCTTAAAAGTTTGCTGTTCAAATTACAAACACATTTTTTTACAATATGGATTTTCTATTTAATTCCCAGTTCAAACATACCTGAAGGCCACAAACAGTTTCAACAGTTTCAAAGAGGTCTAGCATCTTTTAAGCATACAAAGGCCTTGAAGTAGCTGGCAAAACATAAATCAGTTTTCCATGTAGAGAAATATTTAACAATTTGCATGCCAATCCCTTAGAAGAGCTTTCTCTACAGAACAACTTTGATTCTTTGGTAAGACATGGGAAATTTCACAGAGTTATTTCAGAGAAAGATTGTGCGTATTTGCTATTCTAGCTGTGAAAAACGTTGCACATATCTTGTTTGATTGTAAATTATAATCTGTAGTAAGAGCTGATTGCTTATGTCTTTCTTAAAAATTAAGATATACTGGGACACTGAGAATAAATTATCACACTTTTTGTACATTACTGGAAAGACTGTGTTTTTTAAACCAAAGACAATTCAGAAGAGGATGGATTAGCTAGAACAGATTGCAGGTTTGAGCATAGAAGTGGTGATAATATGAAGCTTGGCCTATTAATGTATTAGCAAACTAATAAGGGGCTTTTGCAAGTGAGCCATGAATTAACTTCAACAAGAGCTAGTTGCTTATGCTTTTATTTAATATAGCCATCATTAGAATCAGCAGTTAGCTACACCTATTTTGACATTTACCAGAAGAAGCTAAGAAGGTTGACCACAAATGCTTCAGTTATAGCCAAGCTAACTGATTGTGGCTTTGTAACTGTGCTGAAGAATTTTGCAAGTGTGCCTATTTCAATAACAAGAAAATGTAACTGTGGCATGTTGCTTAAACTATACTCAAGAATCTCAGAACAAAGATCCAGAGGTAGAAAGTTCATCATTAACATGTTAAAAAACACCCAGAAGTAAAGAGCTTAGCTAATTAGGGGCATCCTATGCTTCTTGCAGGATGTTAACCTAAACTGTGCATGTAATTCAGGAACAAGTGATGGAAGTTCTGATGTCCATACAGGTAGTCCTCAACTTACAACCACAACTGAGCCCAACATTTCTGTTGCTAAGATGATAGTTATTGAGTAGTTTATGAGTTTTATCCCATTTTACAATTAAATTTCTTGCCACATTGGTTAAATGAATCACTGCAATTGTTAAATTAGTAACACAGTTGTTAAGTGAATCTTGTTTCCCCATTGACTTTATTTGTCATAAGGTTGCAAAAAGTGATCACCCTGGGACACTGCAACCGTCATAAATATGAGCCAGTTGTCAAGCATTTGAATTTTGATCAGGTGACCATGGGGATCCTGCAAAGGTCATAAGCAGAAAAAATGGTCATAAGTCACTTTTTTTCAGTGCCATTGTAATTTTGAACGGTCAGCAATGAATGGTTGTAAGTAAAGGACTACCTGAATGTGGTTTTATGGTATAAAAACAGCTTGTCGAATATCCGCAGACATTCTTGATTTGCACATGGGTCCCAATGTACCTCTCTTTAATTCTGTGCAGCAATAAAGTGTCGAAGCCCAGTTTCCTCTCTCAATGTGATCCTTGATTCAAACTGCATCAGGTATAACAAACCCAATATAGGGCTAAGCCAACATAATGGGAATATGTTATTACTTTTTTTAAAAAACGGTTTCTTGATACAGTCAAATGACTAAGCAGAGTATTGTTATTGCTAAGGCTGTTAATATTTTTTTTTAAAAAAACTATAGTCAAATTTACACTTATGTACACTGAGATTTAACCTCAAAAGATTTTGGAGTGCAATTTCCAGTTTCCCCTAGCATCATAGCTACATTCTGATTCCCCCCACCCCCAGTCATCTGAGCAAGAGAATGTTTGTTTTAAAATTTATTATTAGATTTAGTCACTGCCTGATCTCAAAAGACTCCGGGTAGCTTATGATATCCACCAAAAAAGACCAAACAATAAAAACATGGAAGAGTTAAAATAAACCAATCTTGCCCCAACAACAACAAAAAACCTCAGCATCCAAACTATCCCCAGGCCTGGGGGCAGAGCCTTATTTTTAACAAATTCTGCAATAGTTGTAGGATGGGATAATAAAATCATAATATGATTTTCCAAAGGGCATAACAGAGAACGTTAAGACAATGTTTTTTCTTTAGGTAACATACTGGGGGAAAAATACATTTCAAAATAAAATTGCTGCCTTATCATAGGGCACCTGATCCTGTCATTAGCAAAGTATGACTGCCAACCCAGGGAACATATAATAAGAGGCCTGGTTTGCAGCTGAATATCAGAGGCAATATCTATAATTGTTTAAACTGCTGCCGCAAATATCCCAACAGATTCTGAATGAAAAGCACTTAAGCAATACATTTGAAGAAAAGTTGTAGAACACAGAACATAGAATAACAGAGTTGGAAGGGGCCTTGGAGGTCTTCTAGTCCAACCCCCTGCTCAAAGAAGAAGACTCTATACTATTTCAGACAAGTGGTTGTCCAATCTCTTTTTGAAAGCCTCCAATGATGGAGCACCCTCAGTTTCTAAAGACAAGTTATTGCATTGGTTGATTGCTCTCACCGTTTGGAAATTTCTCCTTAGTTCTAGGTTGCTTCTCTCCTTGGTTAATTTCAAACTATTGTCTCTTATCTTGCCTTTTGGTACTTTGCAAAATAGTTCGACTATTTTGTCAAATTTTGACCCCCAGTGCTATCATGTCACCCCTAGTCCTTCTTTTCATTAGACTAGACATACCCAATTCCTGTAAGCAATTCATTAGGCTGTACATACCCAATTCCTGTAACTGTTCTTCACATGTTTTAGCCTCCAGCCCTCTAATCATTTTTGTTGCTCTTCTCTGCACTGTTTCCAGAATCTCAACATCTTTTTTAAGATGTGGTGTAATGTGGTGACCAGAACAACAATAATAACTTTATTGTCATTGTACACGTATACACAGTATACCCATACAACGAAATTCACTTAAAACCCAAAGACCAGGTCCAACACACATAACAATCTCAAAACACCCCCCCACCTACACAAATTCCTCACCCCTAAATCACCCAAACATCCACATAACAGACCAAATAATGCTGTCCAACAGCTCACTGATGATGGCCCTTTAGTTCATTGTTGAGAACTGGGTGCAGTATTCCAAGGGTGGTCTTACTAAGGCTTTGTAAAGCAGTACTAAAACTTCATGTGATCTTGATTCTATCCCGCTAATAATGCAGCCTAGGATTGCATTGACCTGAGCCACACATACTTTTGTGAACAGTTAAGCTTATTTTCCAGTTTTTCTGGAAACTGGGAGTAAAAATTCTAAGGTGATCATTGTTTAGAATTTTGTTGTAAAGCAGGGCTGGCAAACTCCCGGCCTGCGGGCCTGATGCATCATGCGCTGGCCACAGCCACACCCGGTTTAATGAAGGGAAAAAGGTTCCGATACATCACATGATGATGACGTGATAACGTGAGTTTGACACCCCTGTTGTAAAGCATTCATGTCAAAAGATACTGTTGCAGAGAAGCAGCATATCAGTTTAAACCAGAAATTCAGGTAGTGCTCAACTTACAAATACAATTGGGCCCAGAATTTCTGTTGCTAAGCAAGACAGTTGTTAAGTGAGTTGTGCCCGATTTTACCACCTTTTTTGCCATGGTTGTTAAGTGCATCACTGCAATTGTTAAGTAAATCATGCAGTCATTTAGCAAATCCACCTTCGCCATTGACTATGCTTGTCAGAAGTCAGCTGGGAAAATTGCAAATGGTGCTCATATGATTCCAGAGCATTGGAACTATCATAAATACATGCAGGTTTCCAAGCACCCAAATTTTGATCACATGACCATGGGGTTGCTATAATGGTGATAAGTGCAGGGATGGGTTCTAAAATGTTTTACTACTGGTTCTGTAGGCATGCTTATTTTGTAGGCGTGGCTTGGTGAGGGTAATGTGACTGGGTGGGCGTGGCCAACTTTTTTTTTTTTTTACTTTTAAAAGCATTTTTTCTACAACCTTAAGAGGTTGCAGAAAACAATGCTTTGAAAAGCCTCTACCGATCAGGCAAGTCAGCTGGGATCGTCAGAGGCTTTTCAAAGCATTTATTTTACCACCTCTTCGGCTGAAGAGGTTGCAGAAAACAATGCTTTGAAAAGCCTCTGACGTTCCCAGCTGAGCCGCGGGATCACCAGAGGCTTTTTTTTTTTTACTTTTAAAAGCATTTTTTCTGCCGAAGAGGTTGTAGAAAAAATGCTTTTAAAAGTAAAAAAAATAAAAGCCTCTGATGAACCGGCCGGGGACCGGTTCAGGGGCGTTGCCAGCCAATGTTATTACCAGTTCTCGGAACTACTACAAATTTTGACTACCGGTTCTTGTGAACCGGTGCAAACCGGGAGCAACCCACCACTGTATAAGTGTGAGACTACCTCTGTAACTTCAAATAGTTATTAAACAAATGGTTGTAAGTCAAGGACTTCTTGTATTGCACTTTATTCGATGACAGCTAACAAAACTTGTTTTCTGACAAAACAGCATACAGATATTTGTTTTCAGTTTCCTCATGATTTCTGTCTAGGTGCATCAATACTTTGTCATGACTAGTAGGTGCCACAAAGCATATTCTGAATCCTCAACTATGCTGCCTTCATGTATAATGGAACTTGTTTTTCTCTCACTCATCACTGTTGAAATAAGGTTCAGTGATCAAACTGATCAGCCTTTCTATATGGATTTGGAGGTGGTAGAGTGGGATGAGGGATGTTGGGCTTTGATGAGTTGCGCACAAGACTAGAATGCTCATTGAAAGAGTCGTAGTGGATCATCAAAAAGGTAGGGATTCTTGTTAGAACTTTGAGAGCACATTTGGAATTTTGAGAGTATCTGTTCAGTGTTGTGTTAGGGAGGATCAGCCAGAGAATTACCATTAGACAAACTGGGGACAATCTTCTACAACAGGCGTGTCAAACTTGTGGCCCTGCAGCCCAGATGCATCATGCGCTGGCCACACCCATCCATTTTAGCAAAGGGGAAAAAAGTTGCGGTGACGACAATGTGACGCCGTGAGTTTGATACCCTTGTTCTATACTATTACTTTCATATAACTTGCCAAGATGCAAGTTTGTTTAAAAAACAATGCAAGCTTGTTTTTTTAAAAAAAGTGGTAAAGTCCTGGGGAAAAAACCCTGAAGCCATTTATTTAGATGTTAAGCATTTATTTATTTATTTAGCATATGGCATATCGTATATGGACTAGCAACCTATATTAACATTTCATCTAGAGTCGTAGAACACAATAAAATATAAATGTTAAAAAGATTTATGTTCAAATACCAATGTCTAGGTATGATGCTACTTGGCCTCCTTGTGGTGCACCCTGGATAGCGTGACAGCGTGAACTAATTGAGCTAGCAACTTCTGGCAGCCAGACTACTCTGTAGAATTTCCTGGCTCTCAACATACATGGCAACAATGTTAAGGAATCAGAGATGGTATTCAGCAGGTTCTGACAGTTCTGGAGAACCGGTAGCAGAAATTTTGAATAGTTTGGAGAACCGGTAAATACCACCTGTGACTGGCCCCACCCCCATCTATTCTCTGCCTGCCAAGTCCCAGCTGATCGGGAGGAAATGGGGATTTTGCAGTAACCTTCCCATGGAGTGGGGTGGGAATGGTGATTTTACAGTGTCCTTCCCCTGCCACGTCCATCAAGCCATGCCCACCAAGCCATGCCATGCCATGCCATGCCATGCCATGCCATGCCAACCAAGCCATGCCCACAGAACCGATAGTAAAAAAATTTGAATCCCACCGCTGTAAGAAATAATAATTTTTTTTAAAATAAGGAAGCGTATTCCTAATCAAGAAAAGTAAGGGACTGAGTAAATTACCTTATTTCCTGGATTACATCAATGCCCAGTATTAAAAGGCAGGCCTTGGAAGAGTTATTAACATTTTAAACGTGATCAACTCACATTGCTATTCAATCTTTTTACTGTAATGTTGAAACCATTTTTTCCCAGAAAAGAAGAAATTAGAAAAATACCTAAGTCTTTGGTTTGTTCTAAAATGGCAGTTTGCTTGAATAGAAAATATAATAGTGCTTCTTGATGGTGTGCTTAAAGGTAGGTGAAGTGGAAGGTTTCAGTCCCCCACCGAAAGAACTTGAGAGGAAGGCTGATTACATTGTCTGGTTTCCAAGTTTCACTTAGCAAGTGAAAAAGGAAAAGTAGAGAGGTGCATTAAGGAAGAAGGAAGCGACCTTGTTGCTATGACAGCGGATGTATGTGAAAGCACTAAAAGCCACATGAGCTTTTAGGTAGACAATGAGTGATGGTTTGACCTTCCTAATAGGTCTTTTGGGAGGAACAGGTGAAGAAGTGCAACTCATTTGGCAGAGAGCAAAACACTTTAACACAAAAAACTACAAACTAACAATGTCATCTGCATATAAGGAGAACCTTTATAAAATGTTTTATCGATGGCATCTGCCGCCAGTGAGATTGGCCAAGATGTTCTTGAACAGGTCCCCGGAAAGTTAGAGATGTGGTTAGAAACAAGGAACGTTCTACCACATGTGGTGGACCTGCCCTAAGATTAGAAAATACTGGTGTAAAATAAGAAAATGGTTGGAAGAGATAATTGAACAGAGGATAGATATGAAGCTGGAACTATTTCTTTTGGGCACTTTTGAAGGGAAAATGGAGAAAAAATTACAATATATAACACTACATATATTAACCGCAAGTAGAATTGTCCTAGCACAAAATTGGAAACCATCAGATATTCCTCCAAACCAAATTATAATAAAAATATATATGATTGTGCAGAAATGGATAGACTGTCTTTGGAAATGAAGGAGAGGGAAGAAACCGACTACTATCAAATTTGGAACACATGGTATTCCTGGCTTGAGAGTAAACGTGAAACCTAAGGAATAATCTGTTAAATATAATATGTAGAAGGTAAAACTGCTGAAGAAATATAGGATATGAAACTGAATTGTGAATAGATGTTACTATAATTTAAATAGAATGTAATTTAAGATAGAGATATATAGAATTAGAAACCTTGTAAATATGTTTGTTATGATAGAGATACTGATATGGAAAAGCTGTCATTAGTGTTAAATTTTTGCTGTGTGTTTTTCTTTGTTTCTTTGTTTTTTGTTTTTGTTTTTTGTAGTGTGTGTTTTATATTTTGGAAATTTAATAAATATTATTTTTTTAAAAAAACATTCTATAGGATATATATATATTTTTCAAAGAGCATACGATTTTCTGTCTTCCTTACACAGTGGTGAGATTCAAATAATTTAACAACCGGTTCTCTGCCCTAATGACCAGCTGGGTAGGCGTGGCTTGGTGGTCATGTGACTGTGTGGGCTTGGCCAACTCAACATCACTCACGTCACCTTAGCTGTTACAATGTAATAAGGGTTAACCAGAGAGGCAGTTTCTGTAAGCAGGACAATAAAGATTAGGCTAGAAACAATACCAGAATGTTTCCTTTCTGCCTTCCTTACAGGATTAGCCCTGTAAAGTGGAAAAAAACAAAATAAGATTTCTTCCAACAACCAGTTCTCCAAACTGCTTAGAAAGTTAACAACCGGTTCTCCCGGATAGGTGCAAATTGGCTGAATCTCACCACTGTCCTTACATCTAGAGAATGTATTCCAGTTTTACTATCTGAGAGTCTTTTTAACTAAAGCTGTCAGACACCTGATCCAACACTTGTCATAGAAATAGGCTTTATTTCCGAACTGTGGCATTGTTCAATTTGTATATGGAATGTCTGCATCAGCTTAATGAAGTCATTGTTTTGCTAGGTCAGGCATTTGCTGATATTTGCACTTGAGATCTCCACAATTTATTATGGCATACAGCAATCAATTCTGGACAAGGGGTTTTGAAAGTAGTGTACATTATACAGACATTGTGTTGAAATCTGTCTTTCAGGTTCCCAGGAATATTTTTGCCCCGTTAAAACAAAAAACAAACAAAAAAAATTCCCTTTCACTATTTTCCTAGCATTTTAGTTTTGAGAGGAGAAGTCCCCCCCACTTTTTTACAATATTTTAACTGCTGAGAGATAACGGAAGGTATTGTTAATATTGCATTATACTCTCTGTCACTGCAACCTATGTGAAAAAAGTCCCATAGAAGGAATTGCAGTTTGGGGGATTTAACTGATACATGGGAAAGCTGAAAACCACTGCAGAGATAATTATACCCTCAAAGATAAGACCTTCTCCCATAGCCCTTGCCATCTTATAACTAACAGAACCATTACAATTTCTCCACCCCAACCAGACATGGTTCTGGTTCTCCTTTAAATGGCACTTCTGCCCATCATACCGAATGGGAATGGTTTTATTTAAATACCAAATAAATGTTTGGCACAATACCGAGATAATATGGTCACTGTGGATCAGAGATATTGAATTCAGCTCTTTGTTCAGCCATGGAATCTGACTGATAAGTAGATGAATGGTCTTATGCTAATTCTGTTATAGTGCAGATAAAAGGGAACAGCTTCATCATGCATAGTCTTGAGGAGAGACAGATGAGAAAGATGAAATAAATGTACATGTTCACTATTCCATTTTGACCACAATAATAGGTGCTCAAATTATATTAATCCAAATAGCTAATATGAGATACGAAAAAGGCAAGATGGAAGCCCTCCAAACAGCAGGCTCATTATGTGTTTAATATAGTACTTTGAATTGAGATTCTATCAGTCAAATTGTCTTTCCCGGTGCTTTATAATATGAATTACTTTTGAAATTCTGTCAGCCTGCTCTAAAATTACACCCATCATATGTTAAATGAAGCCGTTTCTTGCTGGAAATCAAGACCTTCAAAGTGACCTACATTTTTGTCATCAGCTTGTGGAAAGTGTACAAAAAGGCTTTGAAAAGGAATATGCAAAATAATTTTCAAAATGACACAAGGGGATCACTCTTCCCTGTACTTGTTTGTGAGATTTTCCCAAAGATGCAGCCTGACAATATCCCCTTCCCCAAATAAATTATTAATAGGCAAGATGTTGTATTAAGTACAACATCTTCCATTACTTTTGTAGTTCTGAAAAGTGGGGACAGGAATTGAATAAACTTTGCAACGTTAATAATAAAGATCAGTTGGGATGTGGAAGATGGCCTTTAATTGAGCGGACTGGAACTTTCTATTTTGGACTCTTTGAAAAATGGATTACGTATATGTTGAGCTATAAGGCAAGAGAACTATGGAATTGGGGCATGCAGAAGATCTGGTTGTTACCCTAACGTGGTGGTTGGAATTAACAATCTGGACAAAAGACATTACAGAAGATACTATATGGAATATAAATATGAAGTCATTCGGGTGGTTTTTTATATATGAAAACACTTATTATTGATGGGGGCAGATGGTAATTGAAGATACTGAATATACTGTTAGAAACAGAACTTGATGTTACCCTAACATGGGTGATGGAATTAACAATCCAGTTGAAAGACATTACAGAAGATACTATATGGATTACAAACTTAAAGTCATTTGAGGATTTTATTTATATATGGAAATATCTTTTAGTGGTGTGGGCAGAAGAACAAAGATATTAAAAATATTATGTATGGTAGACCTGTAGGAAAGTGGGTGGAGATAGGTTAGGCTACTGATTGTTTAGTTTAGGAAAAGGGATGTTATGGGGGTGGAGGAAATGGGTAGATTATGAGTTGAATAAATGCTAAATTAGGATTTATTATATAATTTTATAGCTGAATGTTGCTTTGAAATGTATAGTATAGGGGGGATATAATAATAATGTTAGAAAGAAATTGTTAGCATATGGGGGGGGTGTAAAAGGATGGTAAAGTATTATACAATGTGATATCAATTTGGATTTTATTTTGGAGAAGCCGGGGGGGAGGGGAGGGGGAGGGGGGGTTAGGGAGGAGGGGGGAAAAAAGGGGGAAAAATCTGTATTTGAAAAACTTTTTCAATAAAAAATAATAATAATAAAGATCAGTGGTGGGTTTCAATTTTTTTTACTACCGGTTCTGTGAGTATGGCTTGGTGGGCATGGCATGGCTTGGTGGGCGTGGCTTGGTGGGCATGGCAGAGGAAAGATACTGTAAAATCTCCATTCCCACCCCACTCCAGGGAAAGGTTACTGCAAAATCCCCATTTCCTCCTGATCAGCTGGGACTCGGGAGGCAGAGAATAGATGGGGTGGGGGCAGTCAGAGGTGGTATTTGGTATCCAAACTACTCAAAATTTCCACTACTGGTTCTCCAGAACTGGTCAGAACCTGCTGAAACCCACCTCTGATAAAGATCCATATCAAAATGAAATCCCATCTCTGTGTTTTAAACCAGGGATTCTGGGAACCAATTCAAATGTTTTTTTGGGGAGAAAAATGTTGTCTATCCACATATCTTTGAGGGCAACTTAATGCTACTGTTGGCAGAAATGATTCTCCAGGTTCCCTTTGTATTGATTGGCAGCAGCCAATGGTCCTTCAGCTCTTTCACAACAAAAGGGCAGACCAAGTGTGACTGCTGCTTTCTCTTTAGCTGGAGCTTGAATATGATGACGAGAGATGATGATCAGAACCAACATCCACTCCACCATATGTCCTCAGGTCAAGAATAATTTATCTCTAAGTCTGCATTATTTACTAATGCAGACTTAGTTGATTTCATTTGATCACCATGCCTTATGGATGGTTTCATATGAAAAATGGTGATTCAAATACAGTCTGTTTATGTTACAAATGAACAGCATGCTTTCTCCATTCTCACTTGTTTTTGATTCTAACAGTAACAGAGTTGGAAGGGACCTTGGAGGTCCAACCCTCTGCTCACTCCTTCTTCTCAAAGGAGGACCCCTATCCTTAAACACAGACTTTTTAACTCAGTGTGTAATATGTTGAACTACACTACACTTACCCATATTCAGCATGGGTATGGACTCTCATTTGTTTTCATTCTTTTCCGGTAAATATTCTTCTTCCACAGTAGCTTCCCAGGGAACTTTAATTAAAATCTCTCCCCTTGTTTTTGTTCAGGCCAATGGAAGACACTTTTGCAGTGTAAGATTGTCTTCATAGTCCTTCCCATGGATTTTAAGTTCTTGTTGAGATGTCAAAGGCAAGAGTGCTCTTTATGCAACTCAGGTATTGAAAAACTCCATAAATCAGTACAGTAGGTTCTTTCTTTCCCGAGTCTATAACTCATATTTTATTGATGTTGCCTGCACCGTTTGGCACAATCATGCTTTTATTGTTTTGAACCAAGGCTAATGCTGAATAATATATGGATTAAAATCTTCCTAGAGTGTGAAATTACCATATGAAACATTTCTGCATTAAAGCGGCAGTCTTTCAGTCTTAAACTGCACATTTAGAAGGCTTTGAAACTCATAGACGAATGGCCTTAATTATGAAACTAATAAGTAGCATTTGTTCCAACATGAAGAAGTCCTCCATGGACCTAATAATGTGGCAAATTAATCATATGGCTTCTGTTTTATTTTATTTTATTTGGCGTGTGCCTCAGTTGTAAACAACTGAGGTTACTTTCATTTACAACACTAAATCCACAGTAAAATATTTCTTTTTAATACTGTTGGAATCAAGGGTTCAGATTCAATTTGAAACAGGTCCTTTGATATTGGTGACTAGAAGTTAGGTAGGATAGAAAGAAAATGTTTTTAGTAAAGGGTGACGATTAAAACTTAGAATAAGTGATAGAAATAAGAGAAGGGGGAATATTAGTGTACATACTTTTATATAATAAAATAAAAGTAATAATAAGAGAAAACCTGGAACAATTGAATAATGACAGATTGCAACTTAATATAATTGTGTATCATTATTAGAAACATATGTTGATTGAATGTAATAACTATGATTAATTTTACTAGTTTTATTTGCATTAGAATGTGTGGCACCTAGGTGCCACATTGTTCACGCATTGATTTGATATGTTTGTAAAAAATAAAAAAATAAAAAACTTGGAAAAAAAGATATTGGTGGGAACACAAATGTAGCAACTCTCTACAACTTATTAAAGCAGTCGCACCAATTCGCAGGCTGTGGAGAAGCTTCCACTCCAGTTACATGATCCTGAAAGAAGATGCATCTGCTTTAATGATCTCCAGATAGGTTTTGTAGTCCCAGCCACCTGGAACAATCTACAGTCCTAATTCTGCTTCATTGGCTTGTATCTAACTGAAATCTGTCCCTACAAAACGTTTAATACAGTGACTAACCTAGAGAAATCTTCTTACCAGTAATCCTGCAGCACACAATCACATTAATTGAATAAAATATAATCATTTTAAAAACTCAATAAACTCTCTATACTTTCTCCAAGAAATGCCCACTATCCCACAAGCTCTTGCATTAGAAGGAGATCATCAAGACTTCATAATATCAGTACAATATCATCTTTCCAGTGGCTGAAAAGACAGCATACTATAGTATTCTGGAATGGGTTATATGCTTTTAGGTACTCAGTGACTCCTATAATCCTCCTACATCAAAAAATTTTCTAATCAAGTCAGGTGGCAGCAGGAAATATGGTAGATGTTTGAAAATGAATATAGCCCACTATGATATATAGTATGATTGACACTTAAAGTTCCTAGCTGTAAGATGGTAACCAGACATTCTTCTTTGGATATGATTCTTTTATTTACCTTATAATCTACTAGCCTTTATGCAATTTATGCAGGTTATAATTTTACAGTTAACCTTCTATAAGAGAAAAATGACAAAAATGCATTTAAAATTAAAATCCAGGTCTGTCATCATAGTCACCATATAAAGTTAATATGTTACTAAAAAGGTATTTTTTCAGACATAAATCTTCTAAACTGATCTCATAATCCTATCATTTGACAGTTAACATATATGCTTTTTGGAATTTGTAAACTTGAGCGCCATAGTTGTTTTCCAGAAAGTGAATTATTCTTATTCAATATCAGAGTGAAGTATCTTTAAAAACAAGAATGTCAAGAATGACATAAGAATACACACATTCCTTCTGGGTTATCCAATTGCCTTACAAATATATGAATTTGGAAAGTTTTCCTTATATAGTCAGTCCACTGGTTTCTCTAACTCAGTATCATTAACAGAATAACAGGATCGGACTAGGAAGGGATCTTGGAGGTCTTCTAGTCCAACCCCCTGCTCAGGCAGGAAACCCTATACCATTTCAGACAAATGGTTATCCAATCTCTTCTTAAAAACTTGCAGCGTTGGAGCATCCACAACTTCTAGAGGCAAGTTGTTCCACTGATTAATTGTTTTAACTGTCAGGAATTTTTTCCTTAGTTCTAGGTTGCTTCTCTCCATGATTAGTTTCCACCCATTGCTTCTTGTCCTGCCCTCCAGGTGTTTTGGAGAATAGCTTGACTCCCTCTTCTTTGTGGCAGCCCCTGAGATATTGGAACACTGCTATCATGTCATCCCTAGTCCTTCTTTTCATTAAGCTAGACATACCCAATTCCAGCAACCATTCTTTATGTTTTAGCCTCCAGTCCAGGTGTGAAATCCAGCAGATTCTAACAGGTTCTGGAGAACGGGTAGCGGAAATTTTGAGTAGTTCGGAGAACTGGCAAATACCACCTCTGACTGGCCCCAGAGTGGGGTGGGAATGGAGATTTTGCAATATCCTTCCCCTGCCACACCCACCAAGCCACAACCACAGTAGGGAAAAATTTTGGATCTCACCCCTGCTCCAGTCCCCTAATCATCTTTGTTACTCTTATTTGTACTTACTATATAATGTCCTGATGAAATCTATCTTGCAATATCTCAAAACATTTCCTCTTCAGAAATGGACAGGCTGACACTAGAACTCAAAAATAAGGGCAAGACAGAATACTATAAAATCTGGAACAAACTGTATCAATGGTTGGAAAGGAGGAAAAGGAGTCGGAACAGAAAAGAAAAGATTTTGGGTTTGTAGAACTGAAACGGGATATTATTTAGACAAATATACAAATGAGGACAAGGGATATGTTTATAAGATCAAAGTAGCAATGTATGATAAGTAGTAATTATATTAGTTGTTATATTAAAAATATGTATGGAAAGGACAAAACCAGGATGGTCACACTGTTTTTAATGTTTATTTAATAAAAAACTTAAAAAGAAACTTTTCCTCTTCTGTAAAAGAGGCTTAATTTTCTCTATTTTATTCTCAGCGTGGTTGAGAATGTCTTTTGAATCTCACTTTGTGTTGTTTGGAGAACATTGTATTATATGAAATGGTTGGAGATTTTATTATACAGTACATTGGCCTATCATAATGCATCATCTCTGGCTGCTGAGACTTTCCAATCTGAAAATATCCTAATGGAATGCGTTCTTTTATGATATCCTCTTAAGATTTAAATGAACCACAGAGAACCAGAGAGGCTGTAGTTCAGTTCAGGAAAAATGACACTATGATGAAAAAGAAGAACCATTTATCTCATATATTCCTTGATTACTTTGCAACTAACTTGCTCTATTCCTACAGCACTGGATCAATGAGGTGGGAATTTGTACATTATGACACATTAAAAATCAAGTCACCGACTCAAGGTATATTCACATTTATCATATAAACTGCTCCTATCCTATGTCCATGCCAGTTTACCTTTAAACTGGATTAAGAAATTCCTGTCTGGGCTGAGAAATGACTGACAGGATTTTCAAGATTTTCAAGATTGCAGATTGCAATTGCAGATGAGAGAGAGAGAGAGAGATGTTTATTATGTGTGTATGCCTATGTGTGAGTGTGTTTATATATACATACAACAAGTCTAAGTTAAATTTATATATAAAGCTAAAATATCAACACAGAGATTCATGCAGGCATTACAAGTATTTTTTTTAAAACCTTCCCTTTTTTGCCACATTACATTCTAATAGGCTCCATAAATTCTTTTTGTAGCACTGCTAAAATAGCGTACTAGTTATAATATTTGCATAGCAAAGGTTGCTAGTTCAGAAGCTGGCAGAAACATTTTATTTTAATTACACATTTTCTCTTCTTTAAACAGTTCTATCCTTGGGCTCTTAAAAAAGAAGAGAGAGAAAAAAATCCATGGTTTTACTATTCTACTCTACTAGCAAGATTTTACTCCCAGCTTTCCAGTATCACAAATAGCTGATGAGAGATCTAGGAACTCAGATTGTACCTTTTACTTTAGGTGACTGCAAAAATCCTAGACTTATTATTTGGGGGGTGGGGGAAAGAAAAACTATGTAGCTAAGAAAAGAAAATTGTATTTTTCAAAATATGTTGGGTTTTGAATACAACCTTCTCTAGGCTAAGCACAGATCATAGGCATTTTATTAAAGGGAGGTATTGAAAAGGATACTATGTGGATGGCTAAGCAGACAAAGCACACCGTCTTCCTAATTGCTTTCCCAGGAACTTGGCAAAAATAATAACACTGTCAGACTCAGCCATAAAACACTTTAAAAGCCAAGGAATGTTGATAGGATGGTAGAAGATACTAAGAGAACAGGCTCTGGGAACCAAAGCCAGTATTAGATAATCTTATAAAGTAACTGTCTAGAATAGTGATGGCGAAACTTTTAGGCTCAGCATGTCAAATATTCAGTAAATGCCTAGCTTGACCATAGAATGGAATGGAATGGAATGGAATGGAATGGAATGGAATGGAATAGAATAGAATAGAATAGAACAGAATAGAATAGATCAATCAAAATACCTAGGATCTCTCTCTCTCTCTCTCTCTCTCTCTCTCTCTCTCTCTCTCTCTCTCTCTCTTTTGCAGTTTTCTAAAACTAGACATATAGGAAACTGCAATCACATCTAAAATGTCAAGAACCACTAGGTCCTGCTAATGAAAATTCTAACTGCAGAAATAAAACCATCAAGCTTAAGCCATTGTTATAAACTGGGGCTATAAAACATTTTTCAATTTTTCTTTAATATATATATAATGCATTCATTTGTATTGTCCATGTATTTATTCTGATTTAATCATAATAACGTAATAACTTCACTTAGAATAATAAGCTTTTTGCTATTGGCTAGAAGTTCCTGGAAAAGTATATACAGCAGTAAGGTAGTCTGGAAAAAGGAAAGGCTTTTTATCTGAAGAATGTTTATCCTCATGGCATTTTCTTATTTTACATTCATCATG